GACCCCCCAAGTAGATGTTTACAAAATTGCTGACCCCCTACATGCTGACACCCCACCCCACCCCCATTTTGTATATTGATCACATCTTTCACCCTTTTTTAAATATTATAAACACAGGATATTAAACTGTTTACTGTATTGCTTTAAGAGTTGTAAACAGTAAATATTCAACCTTATATCACTGCCCTTGTAATTCCACACTAAAGCTTTTAGGCATCTTCTGTTGAAGCTGAACCACATTAACCAAAGGTTTGAACAAATACAAGAACATTGTTAAAATATAATCTCCCAAAAAAGAATGAGAAATATTGATACATGAAATTCCAAATATTTTTCAAAATTAATATTTGATTGTTATAATTTCGCCATTATATTGCTGGTTTGCCTACATGGAACGAACGCACAGCGCAAAAACGTATCCTCGGATTCGTTAATGCACGTGTCAACTTGCATGAAAGTGTCATGGAGAAAAAGTGGTTCGCAATATGCGCGTGCAGTTCTGGGGAATCGGACATTGCCTATAAGAGGCCGGTTGCTTTTAGACGGTCATTAGCATTTTATATCTAACTGAAAGAATATCGTTATGCTGTAACTCGAAAAGTTGCCATCGGACGTTTGGAGGCTGGGGAGTCTCAATATTCCACTGCACGTCACCTCAATGTTCACCAATGTTCATCATCGTGTATGGGACAGATATCATCAAACCAATTCTACGCAAGATCGGCGAAATGGTAGACATCGGATTACCACTGCAGCGCAGAATAAGCACAATCTAGTACTTCATTTGCGGAATGGAACTGTCACAGCAACTGCAGGTGCAGTGCCTGGTTTGAGGAGAGAGTCGGCGCAAACCATTCGTAATCGATTACGAGAAGCTGGACTTCGATCCAGAAGACCCGGTTTCGGCTCTGACTACATCGACGTCGACGGGTTCAATGGTGCAATAATGTTCGATTCTGGGATCTACAAAAGTGGCGACTTGTATTGTTCAGTGCCGAATCATGCTTTCTGCTTCAGTGCTGTAACGGAAGAGTACATGTCTATCGACGCTGAAATAAACGTTTTGCTCAGAAGTGTGCCGCCCAGGATGACCGATATGGTGGTGGGAGTGTCATGATGTGGCGGATCATATCCTACACACAGAAATCTAACTTCCTGCGCCTTCAGAGCAATTTAACTGCTATTCTTAAGGGTTCACATTGTTCCGATCATTGACCGCTAGAGAGAGTTGCTCCAGCAAGATAATGCCAGGCCTCACACAGCACATGACATTATTCTGTATCTTCAGAATGAGAATGTTACAGTGCTTCGATGGCCTTCCAAATCGCCCGACCTCAACCCCATCGAGCATTTCTTGGATAGACCGACGCGTACGTGAACGTCAACCGGTGCCCGAGACGCTACATCAACTCTCGCAGGCATTGCAAGAGGAATGGACCAGAATTCCTAAGTCTTATTCAAAGTCTTATTCAGTCCATGCCCAGACGGTGCAGAGCAGTTTCTGACGATCATGTTGACAGATACTGAAGACATCGCCCAACTGGGAACGGACGCCTTCACTCATTGAACTGTGTATAAGCTTTTTACAAGGGGGTATACACATTAAATGAAACACCGAGAACAAGTACAGTTGGTCTAAGTTAACGCTCATCACGTACCGCACGTGCACTTGTTTCACTGTTCCAACTAATGCGCTTACCCTCTTGTGATACAAACCAATAATAGCGATTTGAATGTGTGATCGTTAACCAACTTTTATCCTAAGGTGAGTAAAATTCTGAGATTTAGATGTTCAGTTGGCAGGGTAAAATTATAAGGATTCGCAATTTTAATTTCACTTAATTTTACTTTTTTGTTTAAAGTGAAATTCATTGGTACGTTTTCACTGCACACAGACTATAGTCGAGATTTCATCTGGACAGTTTAGATGGCAGTTCAAGGGTGTACAGACGGCGAGGTGAGCGCTATGCTGATGCGTGCGTTGTTCAGCGTTAAAGTATGGGGACCCTGCACCAACGCCAATGGAGGACATACACGATCCTGGATTTGTGAACTTCAGGGTCGTGTCACGATGCCAACTTTAGTGTCAAATCATACAGATATCGATACAGATTTCGATATTATCCTGTCAGCAACACCAGAAATCGTGTAATTATCTTTTTGCATTAAAAATGGCATAACATCAAGTGATGCACAGTTTCTTTATTCTAGTAGTGTATTATACGGTGAAAGCAGAAATAAACAGTCGAAAGCCAGTGAAAAAATCTCCCACACTTTACTTTCTAAATATTTTCAGAAAACGCATTGGCAAATTGTGCTTTCTCCTACTACGGCACCTCCGAGCTCTCTTGATTGTTCACCTCTGTGGAGACCTCAGCACACGACCGATCTCGTCCCAAACATACTCGGTGGGGTTTTGGTCAGGACTCACGCTTGGCCATTCCAGAGGTTCAATACCTAGTTGGATTTTCGCCACTGCACAATACGTGCATGCACGGTGTGGACGTGCATTTTCGTCCTGGTAAATAAAGTGTGTATCTGGTTGTATCTGGAATGAAGGGGATAACAGTGTCGTCGAATGTTGTCGTTGAAGTCATCGGGGAACGTTTGTCCTGTCATGGATCCTGGAACAACCATGCAGTCGTATGTGAACCCTGTCCAAGCCTTGACTAACCCTCCATCACCTGCAACAGTTGGAAGAACACATCTAGGGTTCATTCTGTCCCCAGAGGCCCCTCTGAACCGTGAGCAACAAACAAATTAACGAGCCTGGATATGCAGGGGAAGTAAACGTGGACGCTTGAGAGGTCGTCTGGCCTTCAACCCACCAGTGATTAGCCGTTTGTTGACTGTTTCTCTGGACACGTTTCATGCCAAACACTCGCTGCCACTGTGAGCCTCACTGGCGGATTTAAAGGGTCATTGCCACCAGGTAACGGTCTTCCCATGCAGTACTCTTTTTGGACGACCGGTTCTTAGCCTACCCTTCACCACACCTGTATTCATGTGTTTTGAAAGCAGCCTGCTGATAACGCCACGATGAAGGTTAAAGGCAGCACCAATTTTACGTAGGCACCAACGTTATACATACCAACAATTTGCCTTTGCACAACCATTTTTAATCCCTGAATAAGACTCATGCAATTCTGACATTAAAGTGGATTTGAATTTGAGGGAACATGTCGCCCATGCACGTGTAAGATCGTGTATGATCGTGAATCTCGTGCATGGATAGTGCTAGTGTATTATCACTTGTTCGCGGTTCTGCCGTTCACCATTAGCTGAATATTTTACTCACAATGCAGGTGCTCTTTTAACGTTTTACCATCAGTATATTTCAAGTTACGATGTTAAGCTGCCCAACGCTATCATCAGATACAGAACATGAAAAGCAAGAGATTTGAAAAAGCAAGTGCACACTGTATAGCGACTGGTGTATTGGGTACTCGCCCACGCTGACACGTGCATGACCAGTCCTTGAAACATTGACAAGGACATGTACACCTGTTCCTCAGTGTATGTGTATGGCATACTGCAGTCCACAGCATGCTGTTGCACTTCCCCCAGTATGTCAGCCCCGCGGCTAACTAGACCGTTCCCAGTTACTTGGCTTCAGGCCGTCAGACTGTTACAGTATCGTGTTTTGCAACCAACAAAATGTATTGTACGCAGTTCCATGATTGCACTTGCTGCCCACATTAGGTGCAAACGAAGCTTTTACAATAAAACATCTCTACCAAAATTAACCGAGACACGGATATCGGCTAACACACAACGTTTTCGCAACGTTGTTGGAAGGTTGTAGATTGGTAAAGTTATGACACAACGTTGTCACACCGTGAGAGTTACGTCATTATTATAACGTTATGTCACAGCGTAATAACAACGTTGCAAACGTTATAGTCTATTAGGCTTTGGACTCCTCACAACGTTACAACAACGCTTCTTATAACGTGGTGTCACGGAGTTTACTGTAAAACTTTTCACTTTCAGATTCTTTCTTCACTATTCAGCTACAGCTTCAGAAAATACACGACCAAAACAACATGCAAATTGACGGATAAACATTGAAGTGTACTGCTCACTACCGGGAAAATTATTCAACCATTAACGTTAAATAGAACGTTAAGACAACGTAAAATACGTTAGCATCAAATAACGTTACCCTGTGGCGACGTAAAAATGACGTTAATGGGAGTCCACAGAACAACGTTGTAACAACGAAAGCACAACGTTGTGGCAACATTATGACGACGTGAAATTGTTAGCGGGAATAGCGTAGTTGTGCACTTGGGGACTGTTTCCAGTTGAGACATTGAACTGAAGCAAATCAATATATAACTCAAAATTTAAATCCTACTTATTTCGGCATAGATTGTGGATAATCATTCACTGAACGGATGCTGCAACATGACTTATTTAAACCGCAAACGACCCGTATTAGTTGTGTTTTGTAATGTTTACTTTGTGCCTTGTCCTTCAACGGAAGCGTTCAGGTAAATTCGACCAGTTAGCATTGTTCGAGTTTCAGTTTACTACACCACAGGTTATAGATTAGATCTTCAATCCATCCAATCAACACAATAATTGTACAATGAGATTGGTTGACCTTTTGGACACTCGTTATGACCAAGAAGCGTGTAAGCTATTGAGTGAAGCGTCAGTAAAATACCCAATAGTGGTCAGTCCATTTGAAAAATCGAACTAATACCATACTGAAGTTGTTTCTCTTCTTCTTTATTTATAGAATTTAAACGGCTACTCGCAGTGTTCGAACACACTGTAAATGTAGGTAGGTAGCGGAGTCTTTGAAAAGTATGGTGCACACTAGTAGATACGATCACTGATCACAATGATCGCCTTGTGAGAGCAAGTCTTCCCTCCTGGCTTTTGTATTGAATTGTTGCCTGTCATATCAGTAGATTGTGCTGATGATGCTAGATAGTAGACCTGTAGCGTGTTTTTTTCTGTGTAATGTTTTAATGATGTTACTCTCACAGCGGACCACAGATTCCTGACAGAAACAGATACTTCCAGACTGTCCTGCTGTTCCTGGTATCGTTTGTACAGGTAATAATCACCTTCTGTTGATGTCATTATGGGATAGGCGAACGGGGAAACATTACGATTACAATACTTTATAATGTAACTTTATTGCATAAAGCGACGTAGATTCTTCTACAACTATCAAGTAGGAGCTGATAACGGTGTAGGAATAGATATCGAAACGGCGCTCTACGTAAAAAACAAGAAGTTGTTAACAAGCACGTCGTATGCTTCAATATTTACCAACTTCTAGAATTCCGACCAGATGGAGGGATATACTACAATATAATATTGCCTTACACTACGTAGACAGGTGGAGGGTGATACTACAATATAATATTGCCTTACACTACGTAGACAGGTTGAGGGTGATACTACAACATAATACTGCCTTACACTACGTAGACAGGTGGAGGGTGATACTACAACATAATACTGCCTTACACTACGTAGACAGGTGGAGGGTGATACTACAACATAATACTGCCTTACACTACGTAGACAGGTGGAGGGTGATACTACAACATAATACTGCCTTACACTACGTAGACAGGTGGAGGGGGAGATACTACAACATAATACTGCCTTACACTACGTAGACAGGTGGAGGGAGATACTACAACATAATACTGCCTTACACTACGTAGACAGGTGGAGGGTGATACTACAACATAATACTGCCTTACACTACGTAGACAGGTGGAGGGAGATACTACAACATAATACTGCCTTACACTACGTAGACAGGTGGAGGGAGATACTACAACATAATACTGCCTTACACTACGTAGACAGATGGAGGGGAGATACTACAACATAATACTGCCTTACACTACGTAGACAGGTGGAGGGAGATACTACAACATAATACTGCCTTACACTACGTAGACAGGTGGAGGGAGATACTACAACATAATACTGCCTTACACTACGTAGACAGATGGAGGGAGATACTACAACATAATACTGCCTTACACTACGTAGACAGGTGGAGGGAGATACTACAACATAATACTGCCTTACACTACGTAGACAGGTGGAGGGAGATATTACAACATACACTATACTGGAGGGTGATACCTTACACTACGTAGACAGGTGGAGGGAGATACTACAACATAATACTGCCTTACACTACGTAGACAGGTTGAGGGAGATACTACAACATAATACTGCCTTACACTACGTAGACAGGTGGAGGGAGATACAACATCATACTACCTTACACTACGTAGACAGATGGAGGGAGATACTACAACATAATACTGCCTTACACTACGTAGACAGGTGGAGGGAGATACTACAACATAATACTACCTTACACACTACGTAGACAGGTGGAGGGAGATACTACAACATAATACTGCCTTACACTACGTAGACAGGTGGAGGGAGATACTACAACATAATACTGCCTTACACTACGTAGACAGGTGGAGGGAGATACTACAACATAATACTGCCTTACACTACGTAGACAGGTGGAGGGAGATACTACAACATAATACTGCCTTACACTACGTAGACAGGTGGAGGGAGATACTACAACATAATACTGCCTTACACTACGCCTTACACTAGACAGGTGGAGGGGAGATACTATACTACAACATAATACTGCCTTACACTACGTAGACAGGTGGAGGGAGATACTACAACATAATACTGCCTTACACTACGTAGACAGGTTGAGGGAGATACTACAACATAATACTGCCTTACACTACGTAGACAGGTGGAGGGAGATACTACAACATAATACTGCCTTACACTACGTAGACAGATGGAGGGAGATACTACAACATAATACTGCCTTACACTACGTAGACAGGTGGAGGGAGATACTACACAACATAATACTGCCTTACACTACGTAGACAGGTGGAGGGAGATACTACAACATAATACTGCCTTACACTACGTAGACAGATGGAGGGAGATACTACAACATAATACTGCCTTACACTACGTAGACAGGTGGAGGGAGATACTACAACATAATACTGCCTTACACTACGTAGACAGGTGGAGGGAGATACTACAACATAATACTGCCTTACACTACGTAGACAGATGGAGGGAGATACTACAACATAATACTGCCTTACACTACGTAGACAGATGGAGGGAGATACTACAACATAATACTGCCTTACACTACGTAGACAGGTGGAGGGAGATACTACAACATAATACTGCCTTACACTACGTAGACAGGTGGAGGGAGATACTACAACATAATACTGCCTTACACTACGTAGACAGGTGGAGGGAGATACTACAACATAATACTGCCTTACACTACGTAGACAGATGGAGGGAGATACTACAACATAATACTGCCTTACACTACGTAGACAGGTTGAGGGAGATACTACAACATAATACTGCCTTACACTACGGTACGCATAAGTGTATTTTTATTGCTTATTCCGTCACAACGCATGAAATGACCCTCATGGTGACTTCGCACAAAAACACATGCAAATCATGAAAATGGCAGTTAATGTAGGGTGTATAAAAGCCCATGTGCTTTCGTATTATATTCATTCATTTGTCGCCGAAAGCTGTGTTAAAATGCCACGATTGAGTGCTGCCGACCGAAATATCGCCATTGGTCGTGTTCAAGCCGGAGAAAGTTTTGGGAACTGTTGCACGGCACCTAAATGTTCACAAAACAACGATATCCCGACTTTGGAGCCGCTACAACAACTTCAATTTGACCAACGATCGCCCGAGAAGTGGAAGGCCAAGAATCACGACCCCCTTCAAGATCGGTACATCCGGGTCCATCACCTGCGTAATCGGCATGCCCTACCAACCGTGACTGCCACACAAATACCAGGTTTGAGGGAGAGTGTCAGCTCAAACGATTAGGAACCGTCTGAAAGAAGCGGGTTTACGTGCCTGTAGACCAGTTGTTGGACCTGTACTACGCCCCTACATCTCCGCCGACGACTCAGGTGGTGCAACAACGTAAGGATATGGACTTTACAAAACTGGAGGCGCATCTGGTTTTCTGATGAATCCTGTTTTCTTTTGCAACATCACGACGGAAGAAAACGTGTGTATAGGAGACGTCATGAACGTTTTGCGCCCATCTGCCTCCGACAGGGGGACAGATTTGGCGGAGAAAGCGTTATGGTTTGGGGATCCATCTCATACAACCAGAAATCAGACTTGGTGATCGTTGAAGGGAACCTGACAGCCCAACGTTACATCAACCACGTATTACAGCCTCACCTTCTCCCGATTATTGACCAACAGACACAGATTTTTCAACCAGACAACGCCCGGCCTCATACTGCACGTGCAACAATGAACTTTCTGCAGAATTCCAACGTCAATGTCTTGCCATAGCCCTCTAAATCACCAGACCTCAACCCTATTGAACACCTGTTCCACAAACACAGTTGATAACGCGATATCACCGTATATATTGCATGACTCTTGAAACAATGCATACAGAATGTGGAGAAAACTGCTGAATCTATTGTCTAGATTGTATAAACCTTCCTGTTGTATTAACCTTCCTGTTGTATAAACCTTCCTGTTGTATAAACCTTCCTGTTGTCACTGATGTATATTCATACAAGGGGGAATTGCAAAAGTGAAATGGAACGTTTTGAAGTCGGCTTCAAATGAAATTTATCAATTCGGTCTATCATTCATCTAATTTCCAAACACAGCACGTTTATCTCCTAAATACACATAGAAATTATTGTCGGACATTAGCTAAAACTATAACTGATGGCCCAGTTGTCAAAGTCACATTACAGAGATATGTCCCTTACGCTAACCAGGATCGAATTATTGTTGATTTGCTTCCGATTCAACCTGCCACTATCCTTGATTTACTAGCCATAAGCGGATCCAGAGGGGTGCAGGGTGCGCCCCACACACACACAGACACTTTTGTCCTGAAAGTTTGTTATATGACCATAAAACTCTTGCGAAAATTAAGTGTGCCCCCCCCCCGCCCCCACCTTCTCAATAGTGACCACCAGCTCTTTCTCAAAAACCTGTATCCGCCCGTGCTAGCTATGTAGTTTACTAGGTACATACCCATTCACGTGGATTTTACCAACGTAGTTCACGTCTTAAACGTGCATGAACTCCATACGCCGTGATAGAAATGATGTTATGTACAGCGCCGCCATTTAAACTGGGCACTATGTGACTGGGAGTCACTGTAGGCCTACATATTGTTACGTTTGTGTCGACAGGGCGCCAACAACGGCATCATCGGCATCACCCTGCCAGACCTTCTGTGTCTTCTCCACGTCGACCTGCACACCGCCAGCTCCATCTTCATGTGCTACGGTGCGGGGATGTGCCTGAGTACGGGGGTAGGCTTCCTGATCAGGGACCGCGCCGACACCTCGCTCCTCATGGCGTCCATCTTAGTCGCCAATTCTCTAGTCCTAGCTCTGCTACCTAACTCGAGTTCCTTTGCTGTGTTCGCTGGTTTCTACTTCATCAATGGCTGGTGTACGGGGATGCTGTATTTCGGTAAATAGTTAGTGGGTGGATGGCTATTAGATGGACCAGGCCCGAATGTTGTTTCACATCGCGCCATTGTCGCAATATCAGGACTTGAAAAGATTAGCGAGGTTATATATCAGGTCCATTTGGACCTCACTTCAAACTTATCATGTACTGTCATTCCGAATTGTACATTCCATTCTGATGTTTGACCTGTATTATTTTCAGGAGCCTCAAAGTTAAGGATATTCATAAATACAATAGATTATTTCGACAAATCACTTTCCAACTTTATCTGGAGTTTAACGTAGATGGGTAATTTTAACCGCGGGACTTTTAAAACCAAGTGTGTGTTTTATTAACGTTATTTAACTTATCTTTTCTAGGACGCCTTGTTCAGAACGAGATCCTGTGGCCCAAACATACATTCTGCTTGTACCTGATGGCGACCGGTTCCTCCCTCGCTCCGATCATTCTGCCGCTTATCGCCACACCGTTCCTCCACGCCCGCCAAACACAGCTCCATCAACACAAAAACATGACCGTGGTCTATGATCAGCACGCTGCCTGTGAAAACTTTTCTACTGATATTGAATATGTCTTCTTAGGTCTGTCCGTTGTAGGTATTATAGTCTCTGCATGTTTATTGGCAAACCACTACAACCTGCTCAGCAAGGGCTACACGATCAAAGCAGCAAGGCCTGTTGTCCAGGCCAAGCGTGATGTTCGAGTGACAGTGAAGAGAACTATGAAATGTAGTGTATTTTCTGTGGTGGTCATATTGGCATCATTTACTATGACAGCCTGTCTGAGTACCTATCTGTCCCTCCTGGTAACATTTGGCATCCGTTCGCGCCTCCGTCTCGATGTCGATTCCACCTCCTTCCTCATGAGCAACTTCAGCCTGGGTGTGTTCCTTGGCAGACTGTCTAACATGCTGCTGTCCCACAGAGTCCGACCAACAGTCACCATGTCGTTAAACCTGGTACTCTGCCTTGCAGCCTCGTCCTTCCTGCTGGCGTATAGAGACACCAGCTCTTGGGTCGTGTGGATCAGCACTGCGTTCGTTGCATTTGGAAACGGGCCTCTTCTACCCGGCTTTCTCGCCTGGACAAAGCAGCATATGGATCTGTCTCCCAATGTACTGAATGCAATAATGCTGCCCAACTATGCTGGTTCTGTGACGGTCGCAACCATTACTGGCATAATCATGGACATGACAGGGGCAATCTCATTTGTTTACTCAACTGCAGGAATTTGTTTCGTACAAACAATCCTTTATTGTGTCCTGTTTGTGATTTCTAAATCGAAATAAAACCTTTTTTTACTGGAACTTTAGAAATATATTCGAATTTTTCCGAGGCGTCAACAAATAGCATTTCATTTGATCATTTCCATGTCTCGAATCCCAAATATCTGTGATGAGAGAGCATGCAATCAGAAACCCAACAGTGGTATAGTCGAACCATTTACTAGGCATGGCAGGACTGACTGACTGACCCATGTGTGGCAGCATGGCAGATTTCAGCAGCATTGCCACCTTATAGAATATATGCTATAGTGCTTGACTTAGTTATCAGTTCCATCATATTCCACGTATTACCTTCACCGTTGATAGGCATTTACATCTAAACGATGAAGACATGTGTGCTACGTTCAGTTACACTTAAAAAACATTGCTCTACATCGATTCTTTCTCAACGGCACATCATACATTCAGATTTCCTCGGCTTAATTCACAACCGGTGTCGGTAGTTAATGTCGCAGTAAGGATATCTACATGGCCAACAGTGAGTGACGCATGGTAAATTCGGCATGACTTAATCCAAAGTATACAAAGTGCTGGATTATATTAATAAACATTGTCTATGAATTGCACAAAACGCCTGCATTGCAGCTGCCGTCCGTCAGTTGGTGAGTTGGATCTATCCGTTATCCCGGAGGCGGCACACTCAAGGACTGGACGCACAGGTGAACAGACTCTTCATCACTTGGTTAAGAGTTGCCAGAAACTATCCGATTTCCATAGGAGAAAATCGGAAAGTAACGGAAATACTCCAATTTTGTTTACAAAAGTTTCTTGTTACATTCGGTGACAGACGTGTTGAGGAAGGTGAGCTTCTGGTGAGTTGGAAACCTTTAGTCTGGTCTCACACACGTTTGGAGTTTTGTAAAATGGACTAACAATTCATCGTGTGCTATTGTGTATTTTTTCTTAAGGTAACTAATTTACTATTAGTATGCAAGAGGTGTTCCTCTGCTTCATTCCAGTAATTTTATAAAATAATTGTTCCAGTGAAAATTATGGTGGTGAGGTTAAAGCGTTGGCTCGTCACGCCGACGACCCGGATTCGATTCCCCACATGGGTACATGTGTGAAGTTCATTTCTCGTGTCCCCCGCCGTTATACTGCTGGAATATTGCTAAAAGCGGCGTAAAACTCAACTCACTCACTCACTCCAGTGAAAATGTATTACACACTGCCCAACTGGGCAACATTGTGTTTCTAATAAGATCACAGTAAGTTTCTCGGTGTTTCTGTAGCGATACCAGACTCCGCCGTAGGTAACCGTGAAATAGATATGATGCTTCAAGCAAAAGCAATCAAAACAAATACTCCATCTATCTATTCAAAATTCCATTATGAATGTTTTTTCATTCGTTCAAACAAGGTATGTAGGGACATTTGTCCGTCCCACAAGCACTCCCCATCCTCTGATGTCTGCCATTATAACATTCTATGTTCATCACTGTGTAACGTGACCGTTCCTCTGTCCAACAAGCACACCCCACCCTGAGATGCCTACAATCATGAAGGTCTATATGTACATAACTGTGTAACGTGACCGTTCCTCTGTCCAGCAAGCACACCCCACCCTGAGATGCCTACAATCATGAAGGTCTATATGTACATAACTGTGTAACGTGACCGTTCCTCTGTCCAGCAAGCACACCCCACCCTGAGATGCCTACAATCATGAAGGTCTATATGTACATAACTGTGTAACGTGACCGTTCCTCTGTCCAACAAGCACACCCCACCCTGTGATGCCTACAATCATGAAGGTCTATGTACATCACTGTGTAACGTGACCGTTCCTCTGTCCAACAAGCACACCCCACCCTGTGATGCCTACAATCATGAAGGTCTATGTACATCACTGTGTAACGTGACCGTTCCTCTGTCCAGCAAGCACACCCCACCCTGTGATGCCTACAATCATGAAGGTCTATATGTACATAACTGTGTAACGTGACCGTTCCTCTGTCCAACAAGCACACCCCACCCTGTGATGCCTACAATCATGAAGGTCTATATGTACATAACTGTGTAACGTTCCTCTGTCCGTTCCTACAATCATGAAGGTCTATATGTACATAACTGTGTAACGTGACCGTTCCTCTGTCCAACAAGCACACCCCACCCTGAGATGCCTACAATCATGAAGGTCTATATGTACATAACTGTGTAACGTGACCGTTCCTCTGTCCAACAAACACACCCCACCCTGTGATGCCTACAATCATGAAGGTCTATGTACATCACTGTGTAACGTGACCGTTTCTCTGTCCTCAGTATCTCCGCCATGTCGCTGCCAGGTATATCAAATTTTGGTTCGATGTTACCGTCTCCCGGTGACGTTCTTACGTCTTCTGCTGACAGCCTGATGTCGTCTAAGGGAGACCCTCCCAGCAAACCTGGGGGATGCTCATCAACCGAAGAAGTCCCCACAGGCTCTTGTGAAGGGGGAATGTCCAAAGAAGACACAAGCACTGGTTGTGGAGAAGTCTCTAGCAGTTGTGGAAAATCGACAGATGAAAAAACTGCTTTGATTAAGGCTAAAGAAAAACTTCAGAAAATAAAAAAAGAAGATGTTAGAGAGTTCGCCGTGAAGTATATATTGCCGTTATTTACGGGAGTTGTTGCAGGTGCTGTTGTGGGTGGTTTGGTAGGGGGGCTTGCATTTAAATCTCCTAAATGCTCCACTTGTAAAAGATATAGCCCCTTGGATACTAACCCAAGACCAGGCATATTTGATCCCCTAACCCCAAAAGAAATGGAACAAATTCAAGAAGTGCTAATAGAATCGGGAACTGTGGATAACTTAACTACTCCACTTGGTTTTAATTCGTCCTATGTCGCGTCGATGTCCATGTTTCCGCCTGAAAAGAATGAAACTTTGAACTACTACCAAAACCAGAGCAGTTTTGTTGGCAGATTTGCCGAGGTTCATGTGGTGGGGTCGACAGAAATCCAGATCCTCCTCGTTGGGCCTTTGCAGATCGAACCAGTAGATGTACAAATAATGTCATCACTTCCACTTGACTCCAGAAATATTGATGTGGTAATGAAAACTGAACTAGAAATATTCATCCAGCCAGTGATGACCGAGTTGAAGCCCATCCTGGAAGAAAGCTTCGATGGGGCAACGTATCCTAGAGATCTTGCTGTCAGCTTCAATACTGGATTTAACAAACCTGGAACCACAGGGCGTGAAATTAGGTTTGCACTTCATCTTCGGGGTCTTGGAGAAGTGGACAAAGATCTGTTTCATATGCTCCCAGTTTCTGGTATTGTCGCATACAATGGAAGTTCCGTTGAAGACTGGCAGATGAAGGAACTCTTTTACTTGAACCAAGGTCCCTTTGCAAATGCTAGTGATCTTCTTGCTGCTTACAATGAAAGTAGAATAAATAAAGTTCATCTCCCCACAGGCTACAGGAACACTTTAAGTGAAAGGCTTTTCCCCCGGAGTCTAGCGGAGAAAAGAGAAAATAGCGAGGTACCACCACCAAGAAGTTATTCCCCTGGGACCCCGCGGTACAGAATAAATAACTACAACGTAACGTGGATGGGCTGGAACTTCGCCATTAGTAACAACCCTATGCGTGGACTGGCAACCTATAATGTACAGTTTAGGGGGGTTCGTATTCTGTATGAGATGGCGCTACAAGACATCCTGGTGAGACAGACCGCCGACACCCACGGTGAAAACAATGCCGTCAACCTTCTGTCCTCCTCCAACATCGGGGAGTACGAGGCGGTGATACCTGGCGTCGATTGTCCGGAGAGAGCCACCCTGCTCAGTACGACCTACTGGAACACAGTGCTGCGAGCTGGGACAACTACCAAATCTATTTGCGTGTTCGAGGGAGACGGGGAAATGCCGCTGTGGAGGAGGCGGGGAAACAGATACGCTTCTGGCCTGAGAGATAACTATCTGGTGGTGAGGGCTACATCCAGGGTGGGTAACCTGGATTTTTCAGTGGAATATAGATTCCATCTGGACGGAAGTATAGACACCAACATCCACAGTTTCGGCACGTTGCAGGGCGCCTTCTGGAATTCCAACAGTTCAAATAACGCCGCTTCTAACAAGAGAAATGCGTTTGGAGTTAACCTTGCAGACTACGTTGGTGGCATGTCTGGAAGTCACTCGTTCAACTTCAAGGTGGACGTAGATGTGGTGGACACGCTGAATTCATTTCAAGAAATCTCCTGGAAACAAGGCACTGCTGGAACAGCACTTCGGTCATTAAACGATATCGCGGAGAGCCCAAACTACTTTGTGACTAACGCTACACTCTACCCTTCATTTGAAACCATCACCGAGGAAAGTGGTTTAATCAAGGCCAAAAGGCCCCAAGTGTGGCTTGTATCGCCATCCAAGAATGCCTCTTACTCTGGCTACCAGCTGACAATAGACGCTTCACTCATTGACATCATTCAGAAAGAACATCCGGGCTCGGGTATGGCTTCCTTCACCAAGCACGACTTGGCAGTACTCCGTCGCAACGAGAACGAACAGTACTTCACCATGCCATATGACTCCAACACTATGCCCAACTCCATGGTCAACCTCGATAAACTCATGGACCCGTCTGAGAGCACCAACAACACCGACATCGTCCTCTCCATCAACGTTGGCTTCATGGACATGCCGCGCACAGAGGACGTACCCGTGCAGCGCCGGCAGTCAGCTTCCTTCCACCTCCAGCCCTTCAACATGTTCCCTCGTTCACCTGACCTTGACCTGCTCTCCTTCTTCCACGTCGCTGACGGCAGCATCAAGGACATGCCTGCTGAATTCGAGAGCTGTATTGAACCCAGGGACCGACTGGAGACCCAGTTCCCCAATGTCAATTAGTTAATCCCGTGATTTCAACATTAGTAATTAGTTTGAAGTCTTCCAGATTCATAAAGAAGTTGGAAGAACATGAACACATGACACTGTTTTATGAATAACAACTTCTTCATTAAATGAAGCAAGGAGCAAGCAGTATCTCGAAACTTATCAACAAAGAATACAAGAAGTTGTTATCAATAAAACAGCGTCGTACATTCAAGTAAAAAGCTGGCAAAGAAAAATCTGCACAAGCTAACGGGAGAAGGGCGAGTCATGCTTGTTCACAATCTGATATATGTTTTATGTTCAGTTTGCATGAAAGGAGACTAGCAGCCCTAGAAATATGGATTAAAGTCATTAAACGCTACTCTGTGTGTGTCTATTCAAATTGTATAATGTATACATATATATCTATCTATCCTGCATTAGAGAAATGACCGTACTGCGTGCCGAAAATCAGATTGTTCAGCTTAGTGCCGCTATAAAACTATTCGATAAGCACGGATGTCTATCTGAAGAGTAGGGAGTCTTCAAATGAGGTCCATCATCACATGTTTAATATTTTGTCCCATGTTGTTTTCCTGGTGCTGACCAGCGACCATCTGGATTCGTTGCGTCTTTACGACAACGATATATAGGATCATGTCCTTCCTATATCTTCTCACAAAGGGAGAAAGGTATGGTGGCGTGGTTGTACTCCAAGTGGATCAGGATCTTTGAAGCTATCGTACAGTAAATGTGCCTCCGTTGACTGAGGTATTCGCATTTGTGATCCTTTCAAAGTGCTTCTTATGCCTCCACCTTACACCTGTAAGCTGAAGTCAACGCCCCCATACCTCTCCCACACCCCACACACACACACACACACACACACACACACACACACACACACACACACACACACAGATGATAAACCACTCATCGAGAGACAAATGATAAGTGACACACACACACATATGAACCACACACATACATTCAAATGATAAGTCACACACACGCGCCAACTACAAATAAGCTTGTTCCCCAAACTGTTTGTATGCATGTGTCTCCATGTAATCGTGTTACAATACTTATAACTGTACAAATATATGGTAATCAATATTCCTTTGTCTGTATAAATGGTTCTTTTGAATTAATATTTGAATTAAAATCGTTTTGGTTCCAACTCCATATTCGGTTTGTATGTAAGTGTGTATCTGTCGGTGAGGGAACACCCAGAGCTTGTCAGACAAGTATTTACAAGACGTCGGCTGAACAGTAACTTCAGTACTATCAGAATGATAACGGGACTTGTTTCCATCTTGGTTGGACACGATCATACATACGATGATTAAGCGGGACGTCACAGGGTCCAGGCACATACAACTAATCCTGATCACTGTGTTCAGCTGACCTAGCTAGCGGCTCCAGGAACAGTTCTCAACGACCGAAACATGCAGCTTTGTAATCACAATTTGTGGAAGAGTCGAGTCTATGCAAATAAACGTTTGCTTTAAACTCGTATTAAACAGAAATACACCAATTCCACGCTTCTTACCTAATACATATCTTGAAGCAAGTGTGGACGGTGATTGCTATAGGGTGCTGAATAGGCCAGTGTCTCTTGAAGCAAGTGTGGACGGTGGTTGCTGTTGGGAACTAATCGCCCAGTGTCTCTTGAAGCAAGTGTGGACGGTGATTGCTATAGGGTGCTAAATAAGGCCATTGTCTCTTGAAGCAAGTGTGGACGGTGATTGCTATAGGGTGCTGAATAGGCCAGTGTCTCTTGAAGCAAGTGTGGATGGTGGTTGCTGTTGGGAACTAATCGTCCAGTGTCTCTTGAAGCAAGTGTGGACGGTGGTTGATATAGGGTGCTGAATAGGCCATTGTCTCTTGAAGCAAGTGTGGACGGTGGTTGCTGTTGGGAACTAATCGTCCAGTGTCTCTTGAAGCAAGTGTTGATATCGTTGTAACCGTCAACCTATGCTTTGTTCCTGGCTACAGATACACATGCACGTGTCGTAACCGTCAACCTGTACATTGTTTCTGGCTATATTTACACATGCGCGTGTTGTAACCGTCAACCTATACATTGTTCCTGGCAACATATGAATATGCACGTGTCGTAACCGTCAACCTATACATTGTTCCTGACTACATATACACATGCACGAGTCGTAACCGTCAACCTATACATTGTTCCTGACTACATATACACATGCACGTGTCGTAACCGTCAACCTATACATTGTTCCTGACTACATATACACATGCACGTGTCGTTGCATTGTTCGACATATACACATGTCGTCCGTCAACCTATACATTGTTCCTGACTACTGCACGTGTCGTAACCGTCAACCTATACATTGTTCCTGATCTACATAGACACACATGCACGTGTCGTAACCGTCAACCTATATTGTTCCTGATACATATACACATGCACGAGCACGTCGTAACCGTCCTAACCTGACTCATACATATACTACATATACACATGCACGAGTCGTAACCGTCGACCTATGCATTGTTCCTGGCTACATATACACATGCACGTGTCGTAACCGTCAACCTATACATTGTTTCATGCACGTGTTATGTTCTAGGATACATATGCACATGTTGTGACCCTCAACTGTCGCATTGTTCCTGGCTACAAAAACATGTGCATGTTTATCGGCACATTGTTCCAGACTACTCAGACACGTGCACGTGTCAGTACAGTCAACCACTAAGCAGTGAGTGGGTCTGGAGACGACTAGGAGGCTGTCAGTGAAAATACTGTTCTTGGGTACATTTTTGTAAATACACGTGCATGTGTTAAATTAGCTGATGACTATGTCAGACAACGCACGTATATGGAACGTCAACCCGGTAATTATGTGGACACATTAATCCACTTCCGGTCTTTAGTCAGCGGCAGGCATCTTCCAAACACTTATTTTTAGTTAAATCATAGCTGGTTGTAAATGTCGACATGACAATGGTTACTTACAAAATAGAGGACGGATTACACTTGTACAAGTCTCTAAGGCAATGCCTGTTGTCAGGCTGAAATTACCAAACATCCCTTGGCGTATCATTCAGTGAAGCCTTGGAACATGGCAGGGGCTGGTACATTGATATACAAACGTATTGACTACATACATAAAATCTGCCACAAACTCTACCACAACGAAGAACAATATATATATATATATATATATAATCTGTCCAAAGTAAACTGTTCAGTCATAATATTGCATACCACATAAAAAGGCAATATGTTTTTATTTATATAATATATATATATATGTGTGTGTGTGTGTGTGTGTGTGTGTGTGTGTGTGTGTGTGTGTGTGTGTGTGTGTGTGTGTGTGTGTGTGTGTGTGTACACACCCAGGGAACTTATGATATACATTAGCCTTTAACTGTTCTAGAGCTACGTACTACCTATTATTTTTCATTCCTCATTAACGATAAATGATCACACGAGATACATCCTGTTAACCGGGTCAGTGGTGGCCTATCATTACGTAGTGAAATCGTTATGCTTTAATAGGGTATTGCCCCCGAAGTCCTGCCAGGGCGTGGGCGCTCTCTGGCTCTCAGAGTAATAGCTGTACACTCAATACTGGGGGTAGTCCTGCCAGGGCGTGGGCGCTCTCTGGCTCTCAGAGTAATAGCTGTACACTCAATACTGGGGGTAGTCCTGCCAGGGCGTGGGCGCTCTCTGGCTCACAGAGTAATAGCTGTACACTCAATACTGGGGGTAGTCCTGCCAGGGCGTGGGCGCTCTCTGGCTCTCAGAGTAATAGCTGTACACTCAATACTGGGGGTAGTCCTGCCAGGGCGTGGGCGCTCTCTGGCTCTCAGAGTAATAGCTGTACACTCAATACTGGGGGTAGTCCTGCCAGGGCGTGGGCGCTCTCTGGCTCACAGAGTAATAGCTGTACACTCAATACTGGGGGTAGTCCTGCCAGGGCGTGGGCGCTCTCTGGCTCTCAGAGTAATAGCTGTACACTCAATACTGGGGTAGTCCTGCCAGGGCGTGGGCGCTCTCTGGCTCACAGAGTAATAGCTGTACACTCAATACTGGGGTAGTCCTGCCAGGGCGTGGGCGCTCTCTGGCTCTCAGAGTAATAGCTGTACACTCAATACTGGGGGTAGTCCTGCCAGGGCGTGGGCGCTCTCTGGCTCTCAGAGTAATAGCTGTACACTCAATACTGGGGGTAGTCCTGCCAGGGCGTGGGCGCTCTCTGGCTCACAGAGTAATAGCTGTACACTCAATACTGGGGGTAGTCCTGCCAGGGCGTGGGCGCTCTCTGGCTCACAGAGTAATAGCTGTACACTCAATACTGGGGGTAGTCCTGCCAGGGCGTGGGCGCTCTCTGGCTCACAGAGTAATAGCTGTACACTCAATACTGGGGGTAGTCCTGCCTGGTAGTATGGTGATAGCAGGATACTCATTTAGTTGTGTACATGGTAGTGTTTCACGGTACACTGGCACGTGAGACTAGACTCGATGAAGGCTGATCTGCATGACGAGGTTATATCGGGCTGCGTGACTTGTGTAACGCGTCATCATCGTGAGTCACGGCGTCACGTGCTGCCCTCTTTCTGTCAAATACGCATGACATTGCAGTATGGTACGAACATAACACACTTAAGCTTAATTAATTGCTACAGTACCCGGATGCAGCGGTAGGACATCAGGAAGTATGCAACATTACTCCCTGTCTTCTTCACCTTCCAACAAACGTATCCTATTGACAAGATGAATCATAATCATATAAGGATATTTATACTATTCTGGCTTATAACACACGTATTATTTTCCTTTAGCGTTATAAATTTCAACTATACACACCCTGCTCCTCAACCCACTCCCAAAAGTATGATGCTATGCACCTGCCCCATTTCCAAAATGCTGTATCCGTATTTATTTCCTGCTCCTATTATCCCCCAAATACGTTTTCAGGATTATGTGGGAACTAATTTTAGGTTTTGACAACAAACTCAAACAGACTAATGAAGCGAAAGTAAGGACTGGTTGTATTTATATCAACAAGCCATGCTTTATCAAACACGCGGAGGTTAACACAGGCTATCAGCTGGAGCTATAAATGTTCTGGGGAAGTCTTGTTGCTACTGACAACGCATCGCAGCACGTGACACCGATGCTGTGATTTGGCAAGACTCGGACAAGGATTTAAAACACTTTATGTAAGTGCGTAAAGCCGGACGGAAAGTGAAAGTACTCGTGAGGGGCACGCAAAACGACGACTGTTTGGTACGATAATCCAGACCTTTAACACCCCTGAGAACACAAAGCCAGTCAGGTAAGGTATTTTACGTGAGACACTGTTCATCATTTAAGATAACCATTTTCAACAGGGTATTACTGAACGGCGTTAACCCAGGCAGTGCATGTTGTAGCACCTGAGATGTAAATGTTTCTCAGTTATACCATTAACGCCTTTCTGAAATTGTCTACAATACACCTATTGCCCTAGCTCCTACTGCTGGAGAGGTGTCCCACATTGACTGTGAGCCACATGTGGCAGAATATACTCAGGTCCAATATGTTCTATATTCCAGTGTGGCAGTATATACTCAGGTGCCATATCTTCTATATTCCAGTGTGGCAGTATATACTCAGGTGCCATATCTTCTATATTCCAGTGTGGCAGTATATACTCAGGTGCCATATGTTCTATATTCCAGTGTGGAAGTATATACTCAGGTCCCACATATAATGTTCAATATTTCAGTGAGGCAATATATACTCAGGTGCCATATGTTCTATATCCCAGTCCGACAGTAAATACTCAGGTCCCATATATTCGATATTCCAGTCCAGTAGTATATACTCAGGTCTCATATCTTCTATATTCCAGTGTGGCAGTATATACTCAGGTCCCATATGTTCTATATTCCAGTCCGGCAGTATATACTCAGGTGCCATATGTTCTATATCCAGTGTGGCAGTATATACTCAGGTCCAATATGTTCTATATTCCAGTGTTGCAGTATATACTCAGGTCCAATATCTTCTATATCCCAGCCCGGCAGTATATACTCAGGTGCCATATCTTCTATATTCCAGTGAGACAGTTTATACTCAGGTGCCATATGTTCTATATTCCAGTCCGGCAGTTTATACTCAGGTGCCATATCTTCTATATTCCAGTGTGACAGTAG